ATCTCATTTTGATTTTGTGGATTTTATCAATTATCTTGAAGTTCTGCATGGTTCTACAATGTACTCTTGCTGCTTGCATATATCAACATGTATTATCTTATCCTGTATGTAATTTATGGACTTTGTCTTTTATATGCAGTTCTGCATGGAATCTACAATGTACTCACTGCTGTTCGCTTATGTTTTTCTGTATTCATTTTCTTCTACTAGTAATTTTGTGGATTTAATGTCGCGCGAATGCTTTGTTTTACTATAGTATAATTTTATTTTATTTTATTTTATTATAATTTCATGTATTCTATCCATTAACTTAAAGTTCTGCATGGAATCTACAATGTACATACTGTTGTTCGTTTACATTTCCTGTATTTTATTTCCTTGGTAGTGCTCATAGCGGAGCCAAGGTATGCATTTATGCCTCCGTAAATAAATTGAATGAATGAATGAATGAATATGCAGAAGTGAGCGAGCGAGAATATGTGGCAAGAAGAGATGAGACGTGATAAATATCAAAACCTGTCAGATATGTGTGAAAACCAGAAATTCTCTCTCACTAGCGTTATTTCTCGCTTCTCGTTTGTGCATGGTTTTCCTTTGTGAAAACTAAATCGCTCGCAACCTCTTGCTCGCTCTAAATTTGCGTCTGCATAGTCGCACCCTTAGAGTCCAAGTCTCTGCGCTGTACAATAGAACACTAAAAACGTAGCATCTAAGCAGTCGCAATCGAAGCTGTATTTACATATCTCGTGTTAAAAACCCTCTGTAATTTTATGAAAGTGCATTTTGCTTGCTCAATTCTGCATTCAATTTTTTTGCATTGTCCCAATTTTTGGTAATGCAACAGCCCAGATATTTGTAACTTGTCACTTTATCGATAACAGCGCTACCAATTACAAGTGTGCCTTGGCTCTGGTTGTACTGATTTTTACTTATCATCATCCACTTTATTTTTTTGATATTCAATTGCAATCCATAGTCAAGATTCTTGGATGCAACCATATTCGCTAACCTTTGCAGTTTGTCTAAACTGGTGGCTAATAATATGTTATCATCTGCATATCTTAGATTGTTAATTGGAACACCATTGACTATTACTCCATTGTTGTAATCTTCAAGGGCATCTGAGTATAGGTTGAAGAGCAATGGTGAGAGAATGCAGCCTTGTCTTACTCCCCTCAAAATTTGGATTTCCTCTGTCATACTACTCTCTACACGAACCAAGGCCCTTTAATTCCAGTAAAGGTTTGCAATAAGATGGATATCTCTGCCATTGAGTCCTAAGTTCATTAAAATTTGCATCAACCTGTCATGCTTTATCGTGTCGAATGCCTTTTCATTCAGGGAACAGGTGAATACATCTATGCTGACATCACAATACCTTTGAACCAATACTTGGATGCTAAAAAGTGCTTCTCATGTGCCGAACCCATTTCTGAATCCAAAGTGAGTATTGCTTATTGTCTCTTTGCATCTTTTATAAATGCATGTGTGTATGGTTTTTTTAAAAAAGTTTCAGCACATGGCTCATTAAACTTATCAGCTAGTGTTTGTTACATTGTTTTGCATTTGGTTTCTTCGGTAGAGCTATGAAAGTTGACTTTAGTGAATCCATTGGTATATTCTCTGTCCGACAGATACAATTGAATAGTTCCACCATCATGGAGAGAACACGTTCACCAGAAAGAAGTTTCAGTACCTCTACATGTATACTATCTAGGCTAGGGGCTTTATTGTTTTTAGCTGTTCTCAAGGTGTGATCAACTTCGCTTCTTGTGATATATAGACCTTCGCAAGAGTCAATGTTGTGACCTAAACTCCTCTTGTCTTTAAATAAGGTTTCAATATAATTCTTCCATTTGATAATTTTTGCCCTGTTGTTAGAATTCTTCCACTATTGTCAGTCAGGATTCCACTCGTATAAGGCATGCACAGTCAAAATCCACACTGATGTCAGGGTTGGAGGCGAAGCTAGCTAGCGTAGTGCTGGCCGATCCTTTCAGAATGAAATTCTGATGTTCTTTGAGGCAAGTGTTTAAAGGGTGCATTGTAGCACCCTTTAAGCAAGTGCATCATGTGATTATTTACTGTATTTATTTTCTTCTGTAAATTCCGTATTTATTTTGTTGAAAATAACAACTGACCATTAAACATTGTTAGTTTTGAGAAAGCAAATATAAATGTGATAGTCTTATAATTTCTTAATAGACTAGTTTTACGCTCATTCAACTTCTTACCAGTAACTGTAAGTCAAGCAGTATATGCACAGGTTCGGCAGTGGAGATGATCAGCACAGTGTGTGGCTGCACGAGGAACAGACTCCAGTTAATTATCCATTGTAATAGGTATACAAACAATAGAGATAGTTTAATGAGTAGTAACTTTGGAGGAGTACAACTGGCCCTGCACACCAAACCAACTAATCCAGACACAGACAATGTACCAACACTTATTCATTCATATTCCAGAGCAAAGTCCATGTGGTCTCTCCAGATGCCGATGCCAAACAGCATTTGTAAATGAATACTTTATAATTCTAATGACATACTCGGAACGAATTATGGTGTGGTAATGAAACAACAAAAAAACAAATGTTTTCAAACCTCTTCTGGGCTCTGCATCAGGTTCTTAACTGTTCCAAGATGGTTATTTGTTTATGGAATAATGTTTAAATAAGAGTTTGATTATAAGTTTGAAAAATGTACTAAAAGCCATGTTGCGCATGTGCAAAGAGTTGTCCTGCATGGACACAAATGAGTGGCAAGAGTGAGTTGTGAATCAGCTCTTATGTAACAGATCCAAACATAGTAGCCGACTTTTTATGGGCCAATCTCATCCTTGCCATGCCTCCCACTGAACACCTCAAATGGCTAGAGGCTATCCATATTTTTAAATCTAGTCTCACAACTACATGCGTAACACTTTAAAGAGGAGATGGTTTTGTCATTGGCCTGTCAAGAGCTGATTCATAACTCGCTCTAGCCACTTGTGACCAGGCAGGCCAACTCATTGCGCACGCGCGACATGGCTTTTAGTAAATTTTTTCGAACTTATAATCAAATTCTTATTTAAACATTATTCTATAAACAAATAAGCATCTTGGACTGTTAAGAACCTGATGTAGAGCACAGAAGGTGTTCAAAAACATTTGTTTTTTCATTGTTTTGTCACCACACTAATTGGTTCCAAGTGCATCATTGTCATTAATCCAGTGCGGTGAGTAGTTATTTACTTTATAATTTTTACTGTTTAATATTTTTTGTCCTATTGTTATCTTATTTCTTTTTTTAAATGTTTTCTTTATTTTCTATTTACACTTGTATTTTTATATACAGTATTATATTTTATGTATCTGGGTTATACTGTTAATCGCAGGGTGGAAATCTTATGTGATATACATGACATTGTCATACATCCATTTGTGATTATGATAAATAAATAAAGGTTTTTTGTCTTTACTGATTTAAATACAGTTAGTTTCAAACAGTCAAATCTTTATCTGTTGTGTCCATTGTGTAATTGTAGTCCCTTTGGTTCAGTTTTGTCTCTATTCCAAAGTTTATTTCTGTTGTCTCCTTTTATATACTGAAATAATTTGGCATCTTGCTTGTGGGTCTTTTATCATTGTCTGCTCTAGCCTGTCTGAGTTGTTGTCCTTGTCTATATTCTTAAATATAAATGACTAATAAGCTAGTTTTGAGCTACTTGTAGAATAGATTTTAGCTAGAAAAACAGTAAGTAAACAGTTTTCTTCATCTAATTAGTTAGGTTATTCTATCTCCTAGGGCTCATTAGATATGACTCTGTATAATGTATTAGTTTTAAGCCTTCATTAATAGCCACTTGGCATTCACTTTTCTGTCTAGCTTTTATATAGCTGCACTACATATTGGTGTGTGCAACAACTCAAGATTTTCTTTCAGACCTTTTTAGGGCAATAACCTTGCAGCCTATAAATTGCACGCCAGCATTAAACGTACAGGGTGCAGAAACCAAACTTTTGTTCAGGGGAATCCTTCCTTTCTTCTTACCCTACTTCTTCCCTTTCCTTTCTTTCCCAACTAAATACTTTGTGTACTACCACCACAATGTTTCATAATGTAATATAACACAATCTCATAAAAGATGGCGCTACGCACAATTTAATTTAATTATTATGATTAATAATATCAATTATTTTTAAAATAAAATCTCATAAAAACCAGGAAAGTTATGCAATTCATTCCTGGAATTTTTATTTATCGTGTCCACGCTATGAACAAAAATGAGAACACAAAATGGCCAAATACCATAATTAAAAAATTAAGCAAAGTAAGAAAGTGGAAAAAACAAAAATGGAAGTAAATAACTGATAATATTAAGGAAATGGTGAGAATCATTAGCGTGGGATTTGTGAATAAACTTAACTGGAGAAATCCATTGCCTGTATTCCATCTGATGTGGTGCATTTAAGGAAACTTTCTTACTAAACAGCAAACAATTCACTTTTCTACTTAGCATCAGTCAAATCTCAGCTACCATTAATGTCCTAGATGGTCCGGCTGTCTCCAAATGTCTTTTCTCCAACCAAATGCTGGAGAATGAGATAATATGAATTTTATTGGAAAGGAAAACGCCAACTTCAAAAAATAAGTGTAATAATTATGACTTTCAATCTGTCCCCTTTTGGCCAACGTTCCACTGATTGGTGACCAGATGAAAATATTAACATTTCAGCCCAAGTTAGGTCTATTCAACCCTTCTGCCTCTCGCCACCGCATTCTAAATTGCTTGGCGTTATCTAGTACCCTGTTTATGTTTGTCTCTCTTCCTGCCAGCTCCCGTTGACCACAAAAAACAATGCACAAAATGAGCTGAGTGGAGTGGAGAAAAAATTTATGCCATTCAAACTATAAAAAAGCAACACTGAAGTTGGCCTTCTTTAGCCGCTGCCCCAACGCCCTCCCTGTGGTGTCCAGAGTCCCCAAACCAAAAAGGTCCAGGCGCGAAGTGAAAAGGAAGAGCAAGGTCGAAGGATGCGTCTTTATTGGGCGGTCTCCGCCGTAATTACAGTTTTCGGGGAGGCTTCCGTTCCACGCCAGAACTTTATTATCTCTCGAAGCCCGGCTTCCCCCTCGACCGTACAAATCTACGCGTCTTTTCCTTTCTGGCCGCGTCCGCTGCCAGAAAGGGTGGTGTCTCCGACCGCGGTACAAAAGAGGGGAAGAACGAAAATGGCTAGCGCTAAAACGGGTGTGGAGGATGGAGAGAGTCTGTACAGGTGCGACTGGATCAACCGTCTTCTTTCGGAGGAGTGAACCAACCTATGAAAAGAAAAGTGGATTAGACCAGTGGAAATCCAGAATGCCAGCGTTGAGTCCAGGCCGATGTCACCCACCGTTTTTTTCGTGGATCTGAACTAAGGACTTAAAGGACTGCTGGGCCCTGGCTAGGCTGTACTGCCCCTGAAAAACAAAGACTGATTAGTCTCCGACCGCGTGCGCGACATGGATTTTTCTCGCGTTAAATATTCTCGCTGAATCACGCCCTTCCAACTGTAAGAGACCCAAAATACTACTTAAAACCCCAGTTTAAACCTCCACTTCCCCTCTACCAGGTTTTCCATCAGGGAAACAGAGTATGGGCCTATGCTTGCAGAAATGTCTTCTTTCCTGTTAATGGATGTTGCCTTCTATTTCCTGGAAATGGTGGAAAGGTGTAATGGGATGGTTTGACAGCCCAGTTGCAGCTGGAGGAAGGCCCTGGTTGATTCTACTCTCAAACTACTTTAGCATTGGGCAAGCATCCACCTTTATCACCCATGTTTTTCTTTTGTCTTTATAGAAAATACAGAAGTCTTTATAGAAAATAGAACTGGGGGTGCCCCCAGTTCTATTTTCTATAAAGGCTTCCATTTCAATCATCCTGTGTTACTACAAGCCATATGTCCAACCAAACTACAAGCCAACCAATGCAGTATGTCATTGGTTGTTAGCTTGTAGTTTTATAATGTATTGGGTTTTAGCAATGTTGTTTGTTCATCTTGTGTTAAACCTTTCTGTCAGTGTTGCCGCTGGCACCAGGCCAGATTACTCCCTGCTGCAAAAAGTGAGGAAGGGATGGTTGACTCCAATGTAGAGAAAAGGTCCAATGAGTAACAGTAAGAACCAGACTTTACAGTAGAAATGCATTGTGTACTTGGATGGGAAAGCAGACCCTGAAGTAAATAAGGAGAGGCATGAGTGGGTTTAAACAGAGGAGGCAGGATGAGAAAACCCACTGATAATTACCAGGAAACCAGATGGACACAAAATAAAACCAGACTGGCATCTGATTAGAGGAACTGCTGGGGTAAATCATCCCTGATTTACCCCAGCAGTTCCTCTAATCAGATGGGGTGGGGAAAGCCCAGAAACAATTGACCCCATTAAACACCTTTCTGTGCCAGTTACTTTTAGTTCGGGGTGATGGACTTTCCTGGAGAAGGCTGCTGTTGCATTTATGTCGGCACGAAAGTAGGAAATTCTGCCATATTAAACAATTTGGCAGGTATTTTATTAAAAAATGACCGCAGTTACTTTTAAAATAAACTGACTTCATCCGTCCTTGGCCTTTCCAACCATGCTCTACCCGCACCAGCAAATCTTTATATGACAGGTGGGAAAGGCCACAAAACAATGTAAAAAGACAATCTCTCCTGCAGTTTACCCTGCTTTCAGTAAAATGGCCAAATTCCCTTTTTCATTTTATTAATAAATTACATCAACCCTAGCCTAAGCATATGTCAAAACTGGAAACTGTCCAACTTTTACAGTTCTTCAGAACCTGCCACTTTCTAGGTGTTTGGGGCATGACTGATGCTGACACATCTTGTGGTTAGCCACATTTCTCTTATTGGGCCTTTAACTTCCCAATCAATCAGTTTTGATAGCAAAAACCTGCATTTTTATTTTCCAGATCAAAAACACCTGGAAATTTAATGGCACTTGCCTCTCATGGCAAGTTGGCCAGTAGCCAAAGCTGAACAATCCAACATTTTTCCTTCCACACAGATTTCCAGTTGCACATCCTCCATGGCAATTTTTATGTATTTTAAGGATTCTCCTCCCATTGACCAAGAATCCTTAAAATATGGTTCATCCATATGCCAGGATTCCATGCTGTCATCCTTCTAAGCCTAGACGTGGCTTACTAAACAGTAATTTTCCTACTTTTTCCTTGGTAAAACTATTATTTTTCTGGCCACATCTTAGTTTGTACCTTTACACTACCTTCATGCTGACTCCACTTAAGCAGAAGTCACAACTAGCCATTTCCAGCTATGCGGGAAAGTGCAATTGCAATGAGTGAGTGGCATGTGTCTTGTCTTGATCACACTGTTCATTGATGCTGCAACTCAGAACATGTGACCTTATAATAAACAAATAGAAGATAACAGGCAAAATGACTATCTTTTTTTAATTAATTAATGTGAAGGAATGCTATTGGCAAATGATAATACTTTTTACTTAGTTCTTTAGCTATATTTGAAATAATATTATCGTCACTAAAAACAATCGACATTTCATATCCAGAAATCTAAAAATGGTACTTACAATCAATGTCAAGACTTTTCTTATCTTTTGCCACACCTGCACTATTTTATCTTTTCTTCAATAAAAGAAAGAATTAAAATTTCACAAACATTCATGAGACCAAATAAGCCTGATTCTATAAAACCTGCACTAGATATCTCACTTTCTGCCATGACAAACTATTTACAAAGTTTCCACTGTGTGATGTAACAAAGATGTTTGCCAATTGGATACATATTTGCAATCAGCACGAGTAGAACAAACTTTTTGTTTCTAGTTATGGGTTGCAATTGCACAGATTTTCAGAGGGGTTTACTAGTTATTAGGAACAGCTGTTGCAGTTGCAGTTATCTGCAAGGCTGGAAACTGCAAAGTGTGATCACAGCATAAATCCATGCAATTGTTGTCCTATGTGCCTACACACTTTTGTGTGAAATTGAAGGTGATTTGCAGTGAATTATTGGAATTTTCTTAAATGGCAGCAAAACTTTCAACTGAAAATAGTTTTATATTTTCAAATTTAATTTTGTATTGAATTTTTTAATCTAATATTTGCTATTCTTTTTGCATCTCTTCAAGTATATATGCGCGTATATATTTTAAAACTTACTGTTTTATCCTTCTACTCTGCTACTACTTTCATCTTTACTTTATTCTGCATGTGTTCTTAATTATATACACATATTGATCACCTGTAATTTGTTTTGTAAAATATCTACCTCGTATTATGTATTGTATATTTAATCTGTGCTTGTCTTTCGTTGTATATTCACTTACAGCGTTATCAACACAATATGCATGTATTTACTGTACATTATTGTATTAATGTTATACTCTGCTACCATGTTATCTTTTATTTTATTTTGTAAGTGTATAATTATATACATATATTGCTCTCCTGTAACTTGTATCTATGTACCCTATCTCCAGCTATGCCTAGCGGTGCTGGTTATGCACGCATATGTGCTTTAATAAAATAACTGAACTGAACTGAACTGCATCTCTTCAAGATTTTCACACAATGCTATATGTAGTGCTAAGGATGATCAGTAAAAATATGATGCCTTATACATTTGAAATTATGGTTGCATCATGCCAATTGGCAGACACAGAATTTCCATGCAGAAATATTTGTTGTTCTATTATGTTAGCAAAGTACTCGAAAGCAATTTTACTGTACATGAGCAGCAACAAAGGCAATTGAATCATCTCAAAATCATACTAAATGGAGAGCCAGCAAGCATCAGGGTGTGTGCATGTACAGTACATTGCATTATGGGGATTAATTTATTAATAAAATATCTCATGGTAAAAAAAAAAATATATCACAAAATGGAAATTTGGCAAGTTTACCAAATGCTTCAAAAGTCAGAGAGATTGGCTTTTCCACTAATTTCATCACTTTTCCACAGATTATTTAATAATAATAGATGAATATTTTGCTTGTCAGCTCCAGGATTTATTATTTTATTTTATGCTTGCAACTAAACTTGCCAAAAATAAATAATGATTACATGGTTCTATTTTCCAGTAGTGTCTTTATCCTGCAGCATTCACTTTTCCCTTAAAAATCTTGCCTGTATCAAACCATAACAAAAAATTTATCAGCACAAATTAAAAACAAACTTTTAAAATTATTATAAAACCAATTTTTTTAACCGCAATTTTCAATTTTCTCCATTAAGTACAAAAACATTTATATTTGGACGGATGAAATCGATTTACAGATTAATTTCTTAAAAACTATTCAAAGTTAAATAAAAAAAATTACATTCTTTCTGTGTACCTTATTACCGCCAAACTGAATACGAGCCTTTCCTTTAACCAGTGTGGCAGCTATTTGTAAGATGATGGCTTCTACAGTGTAAGCACTACTCCAACCCTGCAAAGGCAATTGATTAAAACCCAAATTTATCATCTCCACACCACCATGTAGTCAGATCTTACCTGTTTTGTCAGCAGTTCCATACAGATTGCACCTCCTCCCAGGACATATCCACCCGATATCATTGGGTGTACCACACGAATGAAGGGCGGTTCGAATGGATAAGTCTCCTGCAAATTAATGTGAGAATCTCTATGAAATTAATGAAGATAATGTAATTAGTGTAAATAAAATCACTTTTAAAAAAACGAGTCAGCAAAGTGTATAACATTCTCTTTGTTACCAAGTTTTCCTTTGTTCAAAAATTTTAAACTAAATAAATTATTGTACAGTAAAACCTGTCTAAACTGAAATATGCTCTTTGCTAGGCAGCTTTCTATGCTGAATCTTATTATAAGACAAAAACCTGTCCAAGGCAGAAATGGATGAAATTAAAAAGAAGGTAATCCAACTCAGACATTACATAAAATTAAGATACTGCTCATGGACAAATAAGTAAATCTCATCCAAACATAACAGTTGTCAGGAAATGTGATTAAATCAGGCATGGCCAACATACGGCCCGTCATTGGATTTATGTGGTCCGCAATGAATCTTTCAATATTAGCTAGTCTAGTCAAGTAAAGTCTGAATAGCTTGACGAAAAATTCTGACGCCAAAAACAAAAAAAATATATATATATAAATAAAAGAGGTCAACAAGTCACTGTGCATTTAGAGTTAATGCTGCATTACAAATCTCTTAAGTACAGCATAGAATGTTGATAATGCATGATAATGTGAAAAATATATCTGTAATCTCTATGTACAATTTAGTCTCTACGGAGTGACACCACAATGAGATCTCGCACCACCTCAAAATCTTCCTGGGCAGCCTCTGGTTCAGCCCGTGAAAAAAGTTCTCTTTCCAATTCGGCCCTGGGGCAAAAACTGTTGGCCACCCCTGGATTAAACCATATATTCATCTCTACTTTTCATCACCTTTGTAAATGTCATTTTCTTGATTCCATCATCACATTTCGTTAAGACCAATGCAACTCAATCTTGTCACTTACTATGTAACATGATCAAGAATCACTAGGGTAGAGTAAAAGTAGTGTATGTGTTGAACAAAATTTGGAAAGAACAGAGTCCAAATGTGATTAAATGCTGCCAAGCAAAAAAAATTGCAATGCCTTCCTCCTATCATTAATCCCCAAATAGCAGTAAGAGAAGAACCAAGAAATACTATAACTGTGAATGAACAAGACCTGCTAGATCAATTAAAGTGTTTCAGTGACAGATATTGTCGACATTACCAACACCAATGTACTTGAATATATTTCCTGCCATCATACTCCTTAATTAAATAACAAAGAATTTATTAAAGCTATTTTTAATATTACTCCAGAGATTTAGGTTTACTTAGTTACAACAATGCCACACATAGGCCATCTACCAAGGGGACATGCCTCCTGGAATGACTTTTATGGAAAACTGGCCATATTTAGGTGTTAGAAATATGAAGAAAACCCAGAAAACACCATGCAGTTAGCCTGTTGGCCAGACACAAACCCATAACCAACCACCAGTGTTCAGTGGTTTTTTACCCACTTGGCCACTGGTGGGCTGGTTATTACTCTTGACTTTCAACAAATAGACAATGAAGACAATGATGTTGAAATAAATGAAGGTAACAATATGGAGAAACTATTCTAATCTCAGTACTGGGGTGAAATCTACACTACACTATCCAGAACCTGTAACTGGTGCATGACACGTATATATTAAATACCACTGTTGATGAATGTTTTCAAACAATCTCTTTGCTCTTCTTCAGGTCAACTGGAATTCCCTAAACAGAGTGTATTCTATTTGTTGGGATCAGGTGTCATTCCGTTCATCAACAGCGGTACACAATATATATGTGTCACGCACTGGTTACAGGTTCCGGATAGTGTAGTGTAACAATATAGTTCAATGTTTCAAGAAGCTGTAGCTAACTTATTAAGTATTGAATATTTTATCCATGCAAGAGAAGCCTACTTTTCAGATATGTTGATTCGTAATCTCGTATCAAGAATATTTATAATTTCACGAGGTTGACTGCAGAATTATGGATTTTTTTCAGTGTAAATAATTTCTTTTGTCTGATTTTCTGTTGATCTTTTGTCTGAATATCTATTTTACTTCTTTTGTTTTATACAATAATGTTCAAAAATTTTTTTAAACTGTTTTATAAAATTAAAAATATATTAGTTATATTTTATGTGATATGTGAACAATATACCACATAAACCATGTTATAAAACTTTAAAACAAAATGCTAAATACTTTTTATGTACGTGTTGGTACAAAAATATTCAATTTTGTCACCAAAGAGATGACAAAAATGAATGATGAGTGTATTTTGAGGACAATTTCAAACTTTGTCAGAAAAATGATCATCAAGTAACAAGAGAACATGCAAACACAAAATATTTGTTAGTATCTGTATTTGTTGGAATTAACCATGGCAGAATGAAACAATAAAATAATAAACAAGAACAGAAATTTTGAAAACGAGTAACAGACACAATGCATTGAATCAACAAGAATATAAGTAACACAATACTACCAGTTTGTCTGGATGGCATACTTAGTTCCTAACTAGTGTGAGACCTGAAAGGCCCTGGGTCCAATTTAATAATTTTTATTAATAATGTTAAAATATTGTCACAAAATATTACTTCATTTTTGTGAGAAAACTAATGTTTTGGACATGGGAAAGATAGATAGCAGATGTTACTTCCTTTGAGGGAAGTCCGTACATCCTCTGTTTTTCCCTTATCCGCTAAAAATCTCGCTCAGATGGGAACTATCTACCCCTCTTTGATTCCCCTTTCATCCGTTCACATGAACGAGTTTCTAGCCGGTGATTGGTCGTAAATCCTGATATATAGAGGGAATTTGACAGAAGTCGGGGAGTTCATCGACAGACATAGAGAGTGTCCGAACTCCATACGTTTCCCTCCTGATGACCAATGTCCTTAGACGAGTCACATACAGAAAAATTCCAGAGTTAGCACTTAGAAAGCTTACTTGGATTTTGTGCACATATTGATCTCCCATGGAAAGAAGTAAATGAACTTTATCTCCAAAGTATCCCTTGCATACAGAGAAGAAGACGAACGACAACTAAAACAGGTTGTATGTTTTATAACGATTTTGTGAGCTCTCTCTCTCAATCGCGCATCGGTATAGTATAAGTCCATGCCCATACCGTGTATATTAATTGTCGTATTTATAACTCTCGTTCATTGATATTTGTATTAGTTTTACTTATAGAATCATTAAATTTACTTTTGTTTGTTTTATATAAGGTATGGCTCTTAATTTGAATCGTAATAAGATCTCGTATGCGTGTTAATCCGCGTATAATAAGATTGATTAACTGGTGTCGGGACCCTGACATTTGGGATAAAGACCTCACAGTCTTGAATCCCTTTTACCTAAATATTACAGCCCTCCCGGTCAAACGAATCTTGACATAAGATCGGATCTCTCGATCCGAAACTCGGAGAACTATTCTTGCGGAATAGTGCCGATTAAGTGTTACAAGAGTACTACTTACTCTGTAACCCCGGCTGATCTCACACTAGTACCAAGCACTGAAAAACAAATCAATTAGAATTTCGATAATTATAGAGAGTGAAGTTAATTATCAATTAAATTAAAATTAAAATCAATTAAAAGTATTAATATTCTCATAGAAGTCAAATGACACAACAATTTGTCTCTATCACTACACAATTAAATTTTTTGGCAGCAGAGCAAGATACTAGTTTTTGGTACTTCAACTGGTTTGTCACTGAGAGTTCATAAAGATCCCATCCAAGAAGCATAGGAACAACTAGTTCCAGTTCTCAGAAACAATGAAAATATTTTTCAATTGAATAGTCCTGAATAATTCTCAACTGTATTAGAACACACCTATCTTTAGTTGTCATCACTTCAGATTAATTTGCAACAAACATAGTAGTAATATTTTTTAAAGTTTAAAAACGATTTTACTATAAAAAATGAACATAACCATGTGACATTTATTGAATGTAATATATATAGATAAAAAACTAAAGCTTGTTCAAAACAAAAAACAAAATTCAGTACCACAAGATTCCAGTTTATGTGAGATTTACTGTATTCTGAGTTATTAAAAGAAAGACTATTAATGAAGCAAAAATGCATAATGATATTCAAATTGACCAATAGTAATCTTTATACAAATTCCAAAATTTGTGGGTAAACTGTCTGTAAATAGGCCTAAATCTCTATACAAGTCAAAGCAAATTACCTTAAAAAGAATGTTGAGAAGAAGATGGTCCTTTCCCTCTTTTTCTTTCAATAAAATCAGGTCATTATGAAGAGGGCTGTCTGGATCCACTGTGATCAGTTTTACGTTCCATTCATATAAACTATCATTAACTAATTCAACACTAAATACACCTAAAATACATAAATGATGCAATTAAAAAAAAATCACCTTTATTATATTACAAACAGGTTTATCACATTTTAATTCAGCATAAAAATATATATTATAATTTGAAAGTAATAAAGCTTAAAGTTTCTAATAAAGTTGTCTAATTTTAATTTTGATAAATAAATTTTATTGTTAGTTAAAAACATGGAAAATATTAAAGTTAAAAAATATAAATTATGAGCAGGAAACAGGTACAATAATTAACAAAACTGAAACAACAATAATGCAGTTTGGAACACTTTCCCTCACCTTTCTTGAAGCTTTCTGACCGATACACTTCTCGAAGCTCTTTCATTAGTCGATCAGTGGCTTGTACGGAGCCGGAAACGGAACCTCTGAGGTAATCTTGGCGTTGGTTTCGACGCAACCTCTCTAAGGTTGCGGAATGTTCTGTACTCAGACCTTCATCTTTATTTTTTTCTTGATTTCTAAAACAATTATTTTCATTTAAATAGAAACAAAAGTAATTTTTAACTTACATAGAAAATTATAATTGAGGATGACCGAAACAAAACATTATATTTCCATTTTCAGGAAATGCTTATTTTTTATTAAGTTGTATCACATTTGCTAAAATCTACAGAAACATATACCCAAATCTCACCAAAACAGTCTGTGATATGTTAATTTGTAATAATGTACAGTAGAATCTCGTTTTAACAGTTTGCAGAACAACGGATTTTTTCCCAGTCTTGCAAAAATCAATGTAATTTTACCTTCTTTCAGAGAATCCATAATTTGGAATAACAAACTTTTGTAGCCCATATATTATGAATTTTGCATTTTTTCAATGTTCAGTTAATACAGGTATCCCTCGTACAACATGGTTTCACTCAAACAGTTTAAAATTTGGAGATATCCCCCATAAAACATGACTTCCAGTTTTGCTCTAACATGGTTTTGGAAATCCTCCGTACAGAATTTCACAATTGTTAAGTGTAAACTTTGTTATTCAATATTTTTTTTATCAAATCAGCTAGTGTGTCGTCTCAAATTTGCTCATGAATTTTAGAACATTGAAATTTTCAAATTATTTTGTGCCTTTCATCAGAGGTTTACTGTAATGAAAACTGATATTACAATTGTTTTTCTTCTTTGACTTCTTTGATTGTTGTTGCTTTCTGACTTTAACCGTTAACACTGTCACTGTTTGTTTTTATACATTAATCTTCATATTTAGTAAAGTTTATTTAAACATTTTGAGATAAGTACTATTAAACTCTTTTTTTTAACCGTAGGTAAGCAATCATTTGTAAAATGACAAATGAAATACAGCAGTATTTCAGTACTCAACACAATTTGGTATTTTAACAAAAATTCTAGAAAAAAAATCACTCAGTACTCAACCGAACAAACACAACTGACAAATTTCTGATTAATAATGTATTTTTATTATGTCAGCCATAAAAATTTTTTTATGATAAAAATAAAAAATATGAAAATTTTGCTGATACTTATGATCAAAATCAACAAAAAAGCTCAGATGACGACGACATCTTGTAAAAAGAAAACATTCTCATTTAACTGAAATTAATATTAAGTACTTTTAATTGTGATTAATTAATTAATTAATTATTGACTGGAAATAAATGATTCATTGCTTTAATTATTGATTAATAAACATATTTCTCTTAGTAACAAAACAGAACAGTATATTTTTGCTAACTTCTGGAACTGAACCCTATGTTTTGCATTAGTCCTTTGTTTTGTATAGCACAATTTGCAAAACACGGCACTTTTTCAGAATGTAACTATCATGTTATATGAGGGATACCTGTATTTGGGTGTTTCCAGGAATTTACAGAGTTTGATGATATCTCAAGTTATAGGCTAAAAAGTTTATGTACAACTACAGAATTATACAATTAGAGTCAGTGGGTTAATATGATTGAGGAGGAGTCATCTAGACTTGATGGCTTCACTAAATTCTGGCACTACATTTGAACTGGCATCCAAGTGTAGTGCTGAAATTTAGCAAGGCCATGGAGTCTTTTCAAGTCATGAAAACCTTCCCGCCAAGTATCAGTATAAATGAACAGGCTATACCTGTACATGACATTGCTAATATCAAGTAGTTTTTGTATTCAATAGGCAGAAAAGTGGCATCTTAACAAACCAAGATGGACAAGATTTTTTAACAAATCATGAAGACAAGTGAAACGCTAACGAGCATACGTAATTTACCTCTTTTTGTGCTTAGAGTATATACAGTTTCCGTGAGCTGTATCATATGTACATATAGCATTATATAAGATCTTGTAACGTCGTATTTCTATAGAATACAGACTCGAGATCTCAAGAAACTGAATAATTTCAAGTGTAGGTATTTCATGCATATAAAAGATTAAATAATGGATATTTTTCCTGGGTGTGCAGAAAATTCATTGTTCTTGATATGGCATATTCTTAGAACAATAGACAATTTTTGATGGCCCAAGCAATCTGTTAAAATGAAATTCTACTGTAATACTACATATTATAAAATTTGAGATATAAGTTTTTATCTTTTTCCCAAAAAATGGTCTACAACTGAAATGTAGTTTTTGTTATGGTCCTCCTCAATTACTTGTATATTTACCGTAATAAAATGTTATAATTTTTCAAGAAATAAATATACATTTGTGAACTAATACTTAAAATTTTACACAAATTTAAAGTAGTGCAATGTAACAAGCAGCCATGAAAACTTTTGTGATGGAGAGAACAGTCATGAAATTTTATTACCAATATTTACAGGAATTATATAGAAAAGTATTTTTATGCATCATGTTTTCCTCAGTCTGTCCCAGTTGCTTCTTCCTATACAATATATATCATGAGTCTAACCATTTTCCAAGATGGATGGGACAAGTTTGTATAATGAAATCTATGCAAGAGGTAGGAAAGATATATTTGAAAATTGATTTTTTCATTTTTGTGTAACAGTGAATCAATGCAAAATTTGCCACTAAATTTTGTGGTATCCAATATTAAAACCTCCTTAGATATTCATTATATAGTGATATTTAATATTTATTTCAAATTTACATATTTCATTTTCAAAAAAATTCATTCAGAAAGAAACATAAAAGCAAAAACTTCTTAAGACTTTTAAAATTCTCTTCTAGTAGAAATTTGTTAAAAATTTTAAAAACTCTCTTCTTTAAGTAGGCAAATTAGGGCCTATTCCCACTCTTCCACAACCTATGCTCTACAACAAGAATTATCGTATATTAAAGAAGTCGCTAAAAAACCACAGTTATGGCAACATAATAAGCAAATTATGTAATCAGCGCCTTCACATAAACAGTAAAACAGATGAAGAAAAGGCATCAAGGACAGTTGATAAAGAACACATGGAAAGGGTCCCGGTAACATATATTTATAATTATTAATTTTAATAAGAGATGGCGCCTAACGCTTACCTCTAGTGCCAAATTAATTACGTAATTTATTTAGAATTTAGCATTAAAAAATAGCCCGATTAATTTACGGCATTCGGTTGGTGTCTTAACATATAACCTACAAATGAAAGTGATATATAATTCAATTGCAAAGAAAAAAAAATTAGAATTACATACAGAAGAATCCCTTCCATATATAATTTATTAAGAAACGGAAAAGACGCCCATAATCCGAACAGACTACCAGGAATATACACCATTCCCTTAATAGACGACAGATGACAGAGGCAACTAATTTACATAGGATCCACTAAACGTCCATTAGCCACTAGGATAAAGGAACATAAAGCGGATATCACCCACAACAAATATACAACAGCATTGTCTACATATGCAACAAACCCGGACATAACCCCGATTTTTAATGAGGCACAGCTACAGTATTAATTTTCTTGGTCCAACTTAATAATAATAAATTTGATGCAAAAAAATTTTTTCTATTCTTTTGTGAGAATACAAACGCTAGTTTTTATTTTCACACTAACTGCGTAATTAGCGAGGGTGACTCATCGTCCGAAGGTCATCGACGAGGGACCACGATGTCACATGACCCCCATACGTCCAAGCAACCGGACGATAAATGACTATATAAGGAAGTGAATTTTTCTACGGCGAGGGAGACGGCAATAAATCAGGGAGAAATGTCAAAAGACGTCAACGAATTCCCAGATTTTTCCCACGCTGATCGGGTATATAAAGGGGTCGGATTTTCTACTCCAGGTGCTTAGCCGAGGAGCTAACGCCGAAGAAACTCTCTGGACAGCTAAGGAAAACGGACAGCGATCGTCGAGGGAAGAGAATGCAGTGGACTACTCTTCCAACACTCTCAGGATCTACAAAGCTCATAATCGCCGCTCCATGAAAAGGTAAAAGACTTTGTGAATATTTTCTATTCTCTCCATATACGACAGAATTACTCCTTGGAGAGGTTAATCGAAGAAACCTCCGAGCAAACTTCACAAGGAAGAACTCTCTACAGAGTAGGAGCGACGAAGCGTACACTGCATCTGAACATAGCCGCACGACCAGGGAAGGACATCGCTCCACATAGCCTTCAAAGGACACCTCGGATTAGAAGACAACGATCACAGAGTGTTTTATCAACGCCCTATAATATGAGAGCGTTTCCTACGAGGTAAACCCTTGCCATAATTATCTCTCTCCAACGTGAGGTCTCTCTCAAACTTTAGCGTTAGATTAGGTTAGGCTAGAATATAGAATATCTATTTATATCTTAATATGTGAGTGTTATATTTATTATCTGTATGTATAATTTCTTAGTTGTTTATTAAATGTGCTCGTTTATTTAAACCCGTGTAGTCTTTTGGACACCTGATCACGACTTCCGACTCCTCCCCACTCATATCTTTAGCCCTCCTATGCCATCCAACATCCGAGAACGGGTCTTCCCAACCTGTGCAGATTAAGTGGTCATTAGGTTTCACCCAGTGGCCCCCTGCTACTCACACTTTGTCTATGGAGAGAGATTGTTGTAAATTATTGGTTGTTATAGCTTTTGTACATTTCTTTTTGAACTCTGGTTAGTTTTTTCTACTTTGAATGACATTAGGTTGACGAATAAATGTCTTTTCAGAAAAAATTGATTCAAATTCAACTATACCAATCAAATGTAGAATGTAAACAAATGCTAAAAAATCATTATTTTCATGGTTTTTCAGCGCTATTTTCACTTATTTTTGTTATTTGACGCTATTTAAACAAATAAGCAAGTTTTCTGAAGCATAAAATTGAAAATTTCCCGCCAAAATAGAAACTTCCTGGTAACATTGGAAATGACATTCTAACATCATTTTATTCTATTTGATTCTTCAAAAAATCGTTATAATACTTTGTATTAGACTTAAAATATTCCATATCTAAACCAGAAAGTGTTAGCTAGAAATAGAACTTATTTATAGAACAACCCCCATTTCTCACCTCAGGGAAAGTCATAAAACAGTTGGGTGCTAATAACTTTGTGAAAG